AGTGCTCGGGTCACTATAACAAAATTTTGTCAAAGTTTATACTTGACATTTCTCTCTCTTAAACACAATGAAATATTTGTTTAACTGAATACAGTTGACGTTTCTTTTATCCCATCAATCCATTATACACGTATAAATTCAGGTCAAAAATAAAAAGTAGCTCCAGATAAACTTTCATTATATTAGATAGATAGCTTTTCTAACCCCTGCCCCATATTATGTCGGATACTGTTATTGCTTTCCCTTTAAATATATCATTCTTCTTTGTGTTTTTAAAAACATTATTGGTATTTGTATTTTGGAACTATCTGCTTTGCAGCAGTGCTGTGAGTGCTTGTGTTTTTAGGCAAAAGAATGAAGGTAAGAGGTAAAGGAGAAGTGGAAGGAATGTTGAAAATTCAGATGAGGTATTACCCAAGGCCCTACAGTATAAAGTAGAGAATCATGCATACTCCCTGTTGCAACAGGAGGAATACAGGAGGAAACAGAATTGTGTATGCTATATTGGATTCTGACACTGCACCCACCATATGAGCCATTTTTAACATTATTATTCTTTTTTAAAGTTCGCAAATTCCAGAATTTATATCATGCAATGATTAAAGCTCTGCCCAGCAAACAAAATATTAATTTTCAGTGGTGCTGGAGTCTAGAGAATACCAATGACTCCATCAAAAATGTGCGTCTTTGGAAATGAGACAAAGAGAAAAACCTTTTATGAGACCATGGATTCTTATCTTTTCTGAGGCTGAGTTATTTTTGGCTATTTTGGGGATAATGGTCTGTTGACTCCTAAAGTATATTTTAGTTACAATCTACTCACTGCTTTTCAGTGGGCTGCACACAGTAGTGCTGTTTGATTTTTTTACTTTCCTGTGTTCCGAGCTATTTGATATCCCTCTTTCACAGTTACATATTTGGGAAACTGGAATAGCATACAGCAGCGAAAGGTAGCTGCCAAAGCGGAAGAGGAAGGCTTCCAGAGCTCACACCTCGTAGCCCTTGTAGATTGTATGGTGTATGTTGAATGGAGGGAGACATTCCAGTCTACACATAATGAGACGTGTTTGGTAATTAATGTAAAACTAGGAAACAAGATGTGTAAGAAAGGTTACATTCACATGCGTAGCCCTCATTTTTGTCAGCCATTAGTTCTTGTTTAGAATTGAACTTGAAGATTAGTTTAGTTTGTTTTTTTCTTCTTTATTGGATGTGTCTCGTCCAAAACGTATAGCTTTCAAGTTTGTGGAATCAGGCCCATATTAAAACAAATGGTAAGTTGCAGTGGCAGCACCTACGACAACCAGAGTGCAACTCACTGGCTTGATGAGAGCCACAGCGGTGTTAGTGGGAAGTGCCTGAGCACCACACTCTTCTTACCTACTGCCCAAGGCATCTGCTTTCTTTTGGCCAGTGGCTGGAAGGGAAGCTTTTTTTTTTCCCCCTCCACTTTAGACATCTGCATATATTTCTGCATGTTAAATGCACACCTTAGAGATGCCTTTTCTATGCACTGATTCTAAGGAGAGTCTCCATGTCTACATTAGATCAGAGAAATTCAAGGAACACTAAGATAACTTTTTTAATGAGAGATGAGAGTTTGTTTTTCAGCAAATGGCAGTTCCTTTTGAGAAAGAAGCAGCATATTTTTATGCTGCGGATTTTCTTCAGGATTCAGGAAAACAGTGCTCTGGCAAGTATCCTTCACCCAACCCATCCTTCTCTTGAAGGTTTGGACTTACTTCTGTGAAAAGCTGCCTTGTTTTTAACTTGTGAGCAGGAAGCTGTGCAGAACGGGATTGGGCATTTTTATTTCCCTAAGCCAACTTCCCAGCTTACCCTTGTATCTGCCAGTGGAGTAAGGGGCAGGAATGGCGTCTGCCTTAGAAGCTCCTCTCCAACACTGGCTGTACTCGGAGACGTGCTCAGTTTCCCTCTGTAATCCCATGATTTTTCTCTATTCCGCAGTCCTGTCATTGAGGTCGTATTTCAGTCTGAGCAGTGTCATGTGAAGGCTCAGCCCACCACACACAACATTTGTGATTGCTGTCTTCATTAGTTTGTAACTAGACAGGTAGCTTTGTGTCTTTCATATAATTAGCCCTGTGAAGGTTATCAAGAACAATGTTAATGAAGGTTAAATACCCCTTTTTATGGGAAAAGTTAGTTATTAAGAAGTTAATCAAGAAATTAATAGGAGTATAATAGAATTTATAACTGAATCTCAGTAAAGTTGTGATTCCAAGTCCTGGTCTAACAAGGTTTGTTTAGATATAGAAAAGTAAGCTAGATTTGAAGTCTCATGTTTTGGGTGCCGATTGCCCCCTACCATAAGAGGGCCCCCCAAAAGATACGTCTACACTGGACTGAACAGAAAATGTGTTTCCCGTGCCGGCTGGCAAACCTGATTTTGCAAACGGTGGGCTGGCACTGTGTTTTGTCCATGTCAGCATGAAGCGGCCAGGGTCGAATTTGCATTGCTTGCCTGAACTGAAGTCCAGGTTACGTGGCTGTCACTGCTGTCCTGTCTCCAATTACTCAACTTGTATTAGCCAAACTGAATGAAGAGTGCTTTTTTTTTTTTTTTCCAGTGTATGCATAACCTTATGTTGATGCTAAACCAGAAATAGCTAAGACCCAAGGACACTATATCTCACCTTCATTTCCTGAGCCCAATGTCTTTTTCTGGTTGCTCGGGCATGTGCTGCTGGTTGCTAAACTTTCTCTCTAACACGGGGAGCTGCTGCTTAGTTTCCTGTAACAATTTTCCTGGCTTGCTTATGCTGACTGTAGGAACTCTCTGAAAAGAATTGCTGCTACTAAAATTTCCACCGCTATCTTTCTTGCTGTAGTGATACGAGGCTTTCATGCTTGCGTTGGTTTCTGCAGTTAATTAATCTCAGTCTTTCTAATACTTACTGTGGTAAGGATAGAAAAGCAATAAACAGTGCAGATAAGGGATGAAATGGTTTAATCTCATTAATTAACAAAATACAGAGTATCCAGCTACGAATACTACTGCTCTTCTAATCATGGGGAGTTGGACGAGACACACAGAGCCCAGAAAATATATCTCAGCTATAAATGAAGGTATAGTTCAGTTAGTATGGTGGGGTTTTTTTCTTTCCTGGTTTTAATAGCAACTTCACATCATAATTAGGAGGATGAAACTCCTGCCAGCCAAGTACGTAGTTTGGACAGATTAAAGGGAAGAGGTATGAGAAATGATAATTGCTTTGTGCTCGTCAGACTTCTATTGAAAACCTGACAGGATAATTACAAAATACCTGCTTTGCAGAATGTCTAGGCAAATTTTGAGAGAGCTATTTAAAGTTGTTCGTTTACAGTCTGTCTGAAAAGAAAAGTTTTTTTCCCCTTTTTGAAGTAGTTCACACCATTTAGATGTGTGGTACATGTTCAAATATAGACCTTATTCTCATGTGCATGCCTGGCTGCACTCCACTGCCCACCCCCAAAGAAAATTGCCAATAATTTTTTGCATTACCCCACATGCTTCGCCCACATACTCACCCTTAACTTTCAGCAGAACATTATTTCACCTGATGGAAACTGTAGCCTTGTCGCTTTCAACAGTCTGAATCATAGTCGTAGATAAATTAATTGAGAGAGAAATGTTCCAGTGGACTAAACAAAAACCTCTGTTTTGACTGACAGTACACAGTTGTTCTACTTTCAGCACGTTTTCATGTCTCATCACATGGTTTTTCTTCACCTGATTCTGAAACTTGAAAATGACACTCACCAAATTGCCAGTTCTCAAAGAATATTCTAGGCGTAGGTGCCAAAACCCTACTGATTTTGCTGAGAACTGAAAGACCCCGGAAGCCTGACTTTCTACTAAAGTTCACCATATGAGGTCATTTGCATCACAGGGCCGCAGATAGGTACAGAAAGGCAACAGAGTGGTTCTAGGCACCTGGTAGGCAGGGCTAGAGGTGGTGCAGGCTTTTGGGGGAAGGATGAAGAGACCTTGGTCATTAGTGGACTTGTAACAGATGAAGTAGAGCCCACTAATACCAGTTGTTTCAAGTTCCTGCAATTCAATGTGAGTTTTCCAGTATCATTATTATGTACAGTTGAACAGGGGTGACCAACCTCCTGGCTACAAGAGCTGGATTTCCCTGTATGGAGGTGCTGTAAGCAATATTTCATGATCCCCTGCCTTGTTGGATCGTGCAGTGCACAGAACAGCTAACCACCTCATACAGTGAGTTTGGTGCTTTCCAGAAATGTCAGCAATTGTACAGGAACTAAGTAGTTCATGTATCCACATGATAAATCACTGTCTATGTTCTGCTCACCTCGCGGGAAGAGGTAATTCCAATTTGCAATTGCTTTATCACCTGCTGTAGATGAACCTGCTTTGGCAGGGAGGTTGGACTAGATGATCTCCGAAGGTCCCTTCCGACCCTGACCGTTGATTCTGTGATTCAAAATTCTCATGTTTAGTCTCAGATGCCTTCAGACATGACCAGTGACTAGCTTGCAGAGTGGTCAGCTGGTTCTGGCAACCAGGGCAGGCTTTGAGTGACCACCCTTCCTGGGGATACCAAGACCATTGTGAGACCACATGTACACCTTTCATGTGACAGGGACACCTTAATTTTGGTTATGTGTCAGGAAACAGGATGTGGGGACCCCAGAAAGGATGACCATAGCTGAACTGACTTGCTATAAGTAGCTGTAGTCAACTAACTGGTGTATTCGCATGATTTCCCAAGGTGATGCTTTGGGCCAATAACTGTGTGGTTAATTATTGTAATATTTAAAACTTACAGTTTGTATTTTTATATAAAGATAAAAGAATAAATTAAGTGCTGGGCATACAAAGAATTCTGTAGCATGTTCATTGGTACATTGACCTATATTGTTTCACATGAAATGCACAGTACAGATTGTACGACCGAGCATTTTTTTATAGAATTCTAATTTCTCTCTTGCTTCTTTTTTTTTTTTTTTTTTTTTTTTTTTTATAACAGTCTACGAAGAACCAGAAGACCCCAGTAACAGATCATTTTTTTCAGAAATTATCTCTTCAGTGTCAGATGTCAAATTCAGTCACAGCGGTAGATACATGCTAACAAGAGATTACCTCACTGTCAAGGTTTGGGATCTGAACATGGAAACAAAGCCTGTAGAAACCTACCAGGTAGGTATCTCCTGTGTCATGAAATGCAGCAATATAAAAAGCATCTCACTATTCAAAAACTGAAATGTTTCCTAAACTTCTCATTGCTTGGTCTGAGAAGCAGCTAGCTAAGAGAGCTGCTAATCAAGGTGGTTAAAATCCTCACAGTGTCATCCTTGTTGCTGGAAAACAGCAAGTTCAGCATTAGTAAGGAAGTGTAAGACCTGGGTAGTCAGGGTGACACTCAGTGTGGTTTGGGCTCTTGAAAGAAATTATGCTGCTAACAAGGGAATTCATCTCTTCACTTTGGCATCTGTTCTGAAATGATGTATTCCACTATTAACATTTAAAAGAAACTGAGGAAAGGTTTTTGTGAATTGCTTAGTATTCTGTTGCTGCTGGGGCTGCTGAGAGTTTACACCTTTGTAATTTCAAAGCTCTTTTTAAAAACTTCATCTGTGCATTTCTCCCTTACGCCTATTTCTAGAAGCGATCAGCATTAAACCCTAACATCACCACTGACACAGCAGTTTGCGAATGCCAGACAGACACATCTGGTTGCCTGAATTTGTTGCGATATTATCCAGACAAAATGCCAGTGGCTCCAGCCAGCGCTGAGTTTGTGCTCTGACATCTGTTCTGTTTGGCAATAGAGGGCTGAGCTTACATTTTTTGACTCTGCCTTGAAGAAGGAAAATATGTCTGTGACGCAGAAGCTGCTTGTTATGAAAATGCAATGAGAAAAAAGCTGTTAAGCTACCTACAGAAGAGTATGGAAAGTAGGAAAAATGTCATTCATCTGGCTCGTACTGCTTAAGTAGAGACAGTCCTATGACACTGCTGGAACAATCCCTTGTTTTCTGTGTCTGTATAATGGTAGGTGGGGTAGAGGACTTCACAGTGACTATCATTAAGATTGGTTTTAAAATAACATGTAATGAGAGTTTGGTAGTGGGTCTTGACAAAACAACTAGAATTTGACCTCAGTAACATTGGAGGTGTTTATTAGGTAGTGTTTAGTAGGCAAAGTGGGCCCCAGTGTTTTCCAATGCACCCAGTACATTTCGGTGGATACTCTTCAGTGTGTCTCTTGTTAGCATTGGAAAGTCTGAGCCTGTGTACCTTTAAAACTACAGAATTGGTTTTGCTCTGAAAATGGCAATACTTGTAATGCTAAATATGGTAGAAATGTTGATATGCTGTGAAAATGAAGTGGGAGGGTAAGGGCGAGACTGTGTTTTATATAACAGAAGCATATCTCAGATTTTAGAAACTTAGGTAATATATTATTTTATACTTGACTAATGGAGTAGGCAACTTTGTCTCTGGAGAGGAATAGCTGGTCAAGCCAACCTGTTTGTCTTGACTTTGACATTTGCTTTTATTTCCTCATGTAGGTAGCTGTGAAACAAGCTGGCCACCTTTAAATCAGTCTGACACCCAGCAGTGGGGCCAAGTAAAAAGTGCTGTTTCTCCATGCTGAGATGTGAAAAATTAGTATAATGTAAATTTTTCAGTACTGATTATTGCAATCAGAAGCTTATTAAAGAAAAAAAAGACTCACAACAACAAAACCTCTGCAAAGATAGCAGTGTTCTTGCTGCCGTACCTTAACCTATGGGTTGCATTTCATTTTGAAATACTTATCCAGTGCCCTGTAGAGAGTATACAGATGCATTGCTGAGTGTTGCAGCAGACTAAAGGAGAATCTGTAACGCAGCGGCCTTAGGAAGCCAATAGCACAGGATTGAATTGTATTCACACAGTCCAACTGCGCTGGGCAACCTTTCTTGGTTTTCAACTGAAGAGAGTAGAGAATTCTGTTCTTAAGAAAAAGTGCTTAAATTACTCTTTTAACTTTTTTTTTCTTAGAGGTATCTCTCTCTCACATACATAAATCTCATATATAAACTTGGAAATCTCTCAAAAAGTTTTTTGTGGTGGATCAACCGAAGGCAACAAATAAACCTAACATTTTCAGTTATGTATCCACATAATTATGATGACATACATATCATTAAAAGATTAAAAGATATTAATTAAAGGATTGAATTTCTCATTTTGTCCACTGCATGGTAGCCCCTTAGATAATGCCTAGATGAGAGACTCATGAAGAGGGTCACAACAGGAGATTTCCCCACAGGGTTTTAAGAAAGAGCAACGTCTGTAACTATACCGCTTCATTATCAGGTTACAATTTTAGTATCACAAAAAAAAAAAATCAAATTCCTCATCCAAGTTCTTTTCCTTATCAATGCTCTGGCTAAAAGAATGCTATTGCATAGAGCAGCCTTGCTGGAACACTGTATCTGCTGGCAGTGAGTCAATGTGATTTTTCTCCTGTTTATGCTTCACATAAAAGAAAAAAGGGCAGAGTGTGGTGCACTGGGCAGCATTAAAAGAGCAATACAGTAGAATGGCCAGTGCTTGAAAGTTGCAAAGCAGCCCTACCTAACAGGATACTCTTTTGATGCTGCCCAGGTGAATTACCCCAGCAGAACCATACCAGCAGCGAGCAGAGGTGAGCATGTTCATAGCTGATAATAGCTTGATCCACTTTTGTCAGGGCCTGTTGCACAGGGATTTGGACTAATGTGTCACTTACCAGTGTGATTCCTGATTGTGATTATTCAGTCCCAGTGAAATAGCTCCCTGTGTAGTCACAGTGCTGTGTTAGTCCGGAGCACAGAATGACTAGATAGATCCATGAAGGTCTAACCTAAAACAGAGCAATGAAGAAAAGGAGAATGCCTATGGTATTCTTTGGTACTATTCGTATGTGGTAAGAACAGTATGTAACAGACAAGGCAAATCTGATTTTACCCTCAATTGGTAGTGGTTGATGAACGTGCGAACAGGGTAAAAATTGTTTCTTCCAGTTAGTTTTTCATAGTCTTTCTGAGGGTCTGAATGAGGTCAAATGTGGTAAAGGGTCCACATGGAGAGCAAGCTGGTTGTTCAGGGCAGTAGTGCAAGTTTGCCAGCAGAACCAGGCAAGAAAAAGGAGATGAGACCTCGAAGAGATCCATAAGAAATCTGACAGAGGAACTTCAAAATGCTTTTTGACAGAGCTGATAGAAAGGCACAGCTCCAAGCTGTGGAGTTGGACACACTTTGCAAAGGGTGTATATGTGACAGTGGTCATGACAGATGGCTGCTGGAAATGGTAACAAGAGGAAGACCTAGAAATGACAGTCAATGAGGCAAATGCAATCTACTTTCTTCTCCTGCCTTACCCAACCTTTCTATTTATTCCAAGTGTTGGGAGGTCATGAAGATGATAAAGGAAAGAACTCTGGTTTTGTAACAAATTATACTACTACCATGAAAAGCCTTTAAGTAAAGAGAAAATGAAAGGATTTAATTACAGAGGGTGCAAGAAACTGCATCAGTACTAAAAATGTTCTAACCTATTACTCACCATGAGGGTAAATGCATTTAATTGTGAAATGTTTTCTCTGCATCTGCCGTTTGCCTATTATTTGCTCTATAAGACATTATCTGTTAGTATACAGCTCAGTGTTCACTCATCTATTAACGAAAATTGATCCATGACTAAAATTTATAAGCCTTAATAACCTTACATTACAATTATTCTTAGGATACTCTACAATTTGGCTATTGAAAATGGGTTAAAGAGAATATAAGGGAAAGGTTGTTGTTCCTAGTCTAGTCTTGATAGAAGTTATCTTACTAGAACAAATGTTTACGCCCTCAGGCCAAAGGAGGATGCTGAGCATCCATGAACAGGAACAGTCTCCCTGGACTTGCAAGAACCAATACCTCTGTATGTCAGAGCTAAATTACGCCCCTCGGCTATTGCATTGGTATGTGTGCTCCAAGAGGCCATCTACACATCTTTCTACAACTGCTAGAAGAAAATATCAGGAGTGAAAGTGCATTAGTAAATTCTTCTAGGCAGGGATTTTCTAGCTCATTATTTCCTTGTGGAATGAAGCCAATCATCCAGAAGGAAAACTAATCAAATTCAGCGAAGGATTGAAACATTTTGCGTGAGATCTGTACCTCTGTGATAACCCTTGTTCAGCAGAGATATGTGGCCCAGAGGAGAGGTCTTCTGCTGGTTAGTCCCACTTTTTAACTATGCAAGAGAGAATTTACAATGTTGTTTTTAAGTCTCAGCCAAATTGGAGATATCCTTGGGCTAAATTAGTGTTCTAATTTGCAGCCTATGCAACTGCAACCTTGTACTGTATTTGGCTTCTGAAATACCTTACCCAAATATATGTAATACTATACATGTTCAGGTTCTTTTAATAGAGCCAAGTTCTTTCCGCCACAAGTGAGAGTCCACTTATCTTGGAATATGACATTTTTGTTACTATTTAAATTAGATTTCTTGCACATTAATTAGCACATCTAGGGTATCAGCTGGTGAAATGTCTTTGGGAATTAGGCTAGCACGGAGAAAATCAGCCAAGCGGGAAACAAATACGTTGAAGAGGGGTGGTCTGCAGCCTGCTGAGGGAGGTATGCTTCATGCCTTCCTGCAACAATAATTCTGTAGCACCTGATTAATTGGGCTGTGGAGAGGTACAGATAGCTTCTGTAGACTTTAAACACAGTATCTTCTGCAAAGATACCAATCTGTGCAGCATATTTTGAAAGTGAAGGTGGGAGATAAAGTGGGGGGCCTGGTTGTGGAGTTTTATGTTTTGTTTTGTTTCAAGAATAACAACAGTTATTTTCTTTGAAACAGGTTCATGATTACCTTAGGAGCAAGTTGTGTTCCCTCTATGAAAATGACTGCATCTTTGACAAGTTTGAATGTGCATGGAATGGATCAGACAGGTAATCCATCCTTATGTTTATCACTGCCTTCATTTAGCAAAAGAGCTCCCATATGACGGGGAACAATCAGAAAGTAAAGTGTTACAAGTGGTTATTTTCTGCATCAATTTACATCTTCACACATCAGTGTTCAAGGTTGATAAAAGGTATTTGGACACTGGTGCGGTTGTGTCTCTGACCTCATTAGACACGATGTATACCTTGTTAATCTTGGCTCATGCCTTAAGGGAAAAAAACTTTCAAATGTTGTCTGTTTTCACCCAAATGACAAGTAGGCTGCAAAAGTTAAAAAGAATGCTGCCAACTTGCACAGCCCCACTGACACACTTGGGAAGCTTGTGTGATCCTGTATTTACGCATGAGCTGCCTCAGAAATCCAGTTCATTTACTGGAAACAGGGAGCGAGGAAAGGCAGTCACAGGCACCCACTGGTTCTCCACAAACTGCTGCCACCTTCCCACGAACATTAATGACAGTTTCTTCTCATACCTGCCCGCCATCAGAGCAGTCCCTTTCCCTGTGCACTGAAGGAGAGGTCCTGTTTTTTATCTTGGACATAATATCTTGTTGAATATTTTCATTAGAAATATTGGCACAAGAAGCCAAAGAGCGCAAGCGAGGCTGAAATGTGCTAATGCCATAATGTTAGCAAATGGTGACAGTAATTTGGGGAGTAGGAATATTGTACAGGAAGAACCGAGCAGCCGAGAAGACTAGGATAATAAAAATGGATGAAATCCAAGAGTATAATGCAAGGTGAGGATTTTAGCTAAAAGAAAATGCAAACCTTCATCTTATCAGTTGGAAACAACTCACAGGGTCATTTGTATGCTAGGTGACTGGAAGGGGTTAGCAGTCTATAAAATGCATGTGAAAGAAAGCACAAGAGCCGGTTTTGAATGGCACACAGTGACTTCAGGCTGAGCAGAGCTAGGAGCCAAGAGGCAAAAGTTTGGCACTCGCTGAGAGCCTGGAACTGTGCCTTCAGCTCACTTAGCCTCCCATTTGGGGACAGATTAAAACGGTTCATCTCATTGTATTTGAAGCAGGCCTGTCCTCCTGGCCTGGGCAGGGACTATGAAACAGAGAGTGGGACATCTGTGAAAAAGGCAAATATGATCCCTGAATGGGCAAGACTGGGATATCCAGCAGAGAAAGGAGTAGTGGTGACATTATGTTAGGGCCTTATTCAGAGACCTTTGGACTGCATTTACACATTTCTTGTCCCTCGTCTCCAAGGTGGGTGAACTAATCGGGCAAATGGACAGCTGCTCTAAAGGGAGGAGAGGGCAGGAGTTTGGTTTTGCTCAGTTTAGCAAAAGAGAAGCCAAGATTATACTTGCTTCTATTAAGTATATCAAGAAAGCATACATAGGGAGGAAGTGGATTAGCTGAGGTAGATGTGAATGATAATGACACAACAGCAAATAGGTATTGAATGACAACAGGTACTTATAGCTTGGAAATTAGAGGTAGTTCATACCTGTTCAGACAGTGACAGTGTGGAGCAGTCTTCCTGTCCTGAGTAGTGGAGATATAAGAAGCCCAACTGTTTTGATGATGGTGCTCAGGAAATCTGTGAAAGCAGTTACATAAGACGTTGGTTAAAATGACAAGTGTCTGAACTTGGAATTGCAGAATAAGGTCTCTTCCAGTCCTTTGTTCCACAAATGCAGATAAAGTGTAATGCTGTACACTGTGCAAGGAGCATCTTCTCTTTGGACTACTTTCCTTTGCTCAGTTCCTGCACCTACCCAATGGAGAGATTTGTCTTAACTAAGAAATAAAATTTTCACCTTGTATCGTTTATTATGCAAATGAAACTATATAATTCCATTATGTCTGTTGTCTGTGTCACAGGGTAATGTGTTTTTTGACAAGGATTAACTCAGCATTGAGTGTCCCCTGTGATATAAACTGCTGTTCATTTAAAATTATGTAGGTGGACTACACTTGGCAAAATACTTCCCAGATTGCTATGGCTGCAACTGGGGCACCAGCTGTTGTGGAAATGGCTTTGATATGGTCAGAAAGTGGGAATGATCCACAGAATTTTTAGGGGAAGATCTGGGGTTTGGGGCTTTTCTCTGAGTTTCCCAAACCCATGCATGAATGGATGTTTTAGCAGAGGGTTGTCTCAGTAAACCGGTTACTGCTTGAGTTTGGTCCTGCTAGTAATACCAAAATTAAAGCATTTCTTGGAAATACGGACAGTGCTGATCCCTGCCTAAATCTGGTGCAGAACAACAGTGCAATCAAATCATTTAGATATTGTGAAACTTTGACAAAGATTCAGCGCCTTTCAGGTCCTTTCAAGCCATTTTGCTTATCCTTGATGGGGATTCCCAGTGCCTTGTACAGGATGGACAGCCACTTGTTCCCAGGCTCAGTCTTTCTCCTGTAGTCAAATGAACTGCTGCCATCCTCATTAGTGCGGTAGGACCACTCTCTGGATAGTTGCCTGGTAATAATAGAAATATTATTCAGTATCAGGATTTAAAGTGAGCATAATATTTTCGTTCCTACTTGACAGATCAGAAAGATCAATGCAGTAAGTAATTATTAAGTGGGAACATTAGATTGTGAGGGCTTCATTTATTGTATTGCCCAGACACTGAGGCGTTGCTAGTCGTGCACAATTACCAAATCTGTCATTAAACACAATACACTGCACTTGATTGTGAGAAACTGTTAAGTAGAGTAGCTGGCAACATTTGACAAAAGACAAGGGTTCTCTTCAGTTTAGTTGCTTCTTTTAAAAAGTCAAACATATCAGCACTGATGTTCATCTTTTGGTGAACATTCACTCTTCTGAGCTTCTTGCTTCTGTGCATGACAAGTACTGTATTGTTTTGCTACACACTACAAGGATTGGGTTTTTTTGGTGGATCATAATTTAAATTATATTTTGGTAGCAGTAACTCTTAAAGAACAGTTCATTTGAATAGTAAGGTCACTTAATTTGATCCTTTTGTTATATATTTTTGTCAAAAGGACTACTGCTAAAGGTAAGCAATGCCAATTAACAATGGTACTCTTAAGAGATGCTGCAGCACAGTACTTACATTATTAATATGTATACATCCCAGTAATAACTGCAGTTCTAAACATGTTATTTTTATCTTTTGCAGACTTTAAAGCTGCAATGACAATTTAAAGTGACAGGATTGTTCAGTTAAATATGAAAGCATGCTTATTATTTAGGTGAAAATACTTTTTATTAATTTTTGTCATTACTAAGGAGTTAATCTAGGCTATGATAGAACCTGATAGTGAGGCTGTTTACAAAAAAAATCAATGTACGTGAGCTCTGATTAGAACGTGATTGATGCTCAGTTACTCCAATGAACAGGAACTAATACGATCAGACAGAGCCGGTCTCATTTGCTGAAGGGCACATTAATCACTATGTACTTTGGCAACAACAGTGGTCAGGGGAGGGAGTCAAGCAGGGGTCTTACACTAATTCAACCAGATGAGCACATATGATCTGTAGTTGAGTATATTACACTAAAATCATGCTACCTTTATTGTATATACATCATTACATGATATGTAGAATATATGAGCTCTATTTATAGTGATTTAATTTAGTTCTTCTGTTCACATCCAAAGTCAAGTCTCCTAATAATGACCTTCACAACACTGTTTTCTTCCCACCGTCAACCAAACTCTTTTTTTTTTTTCTGTTTTACCTCAAAAAATAGCACTTTTTGCAGTTGTTTGTGTGTTAAAGAAGCCAGTAAAAGAAAAAAATAATGTGGTAATTCTACATGGTAGTAAGTGAATACCTTAATTACCATTCTTTTAAGATTTCAAATGAATGGGTGTATGGGAACCCTTGCAGGGAGACTTCTGAATACCATCACAATAAGTGATATGCTGTAAGCAGATGAGTGAAGTCACATACAACTGTTCAGTCAGTCCTTTCCTACTGAACTGTCATTCATTCCACCGAATATCCATCAGCCTTCACTCTAATCAGGCGGAATTGGCAGGTCCCAGTGGATAGGATGTTAACAGTCTATTCCCGCCTGGCAGCACGCTCCGTGCTGGAGAGATAGAAGACATCATTTTGTTTTCAAGGCTCAGCATGTCAAATATTAGCTTGGAAGGATTTGGGGATCCCCTGTTCTTATTCCCAGTCTTATCCCAGACAGCTGTACCGGGGCGCCACAACACTGAATCTGGTGTCTCAAGCTTTTCCATCAGTGTACTCCCCAGGAGGTTTAAAGAAGTCCCTTCTTTGTGATGGGGAGTCAGTTGCTTCACACAGCGCAGCATAAAGGAAAATTCCCCAATATGCTGGCAGGCCCCCACTGCTTGCAACAGTGCTTCCTCCTTTCCCTTTGTTGTAATAAACCTCATTTTTCATTCCTATGAAAAATGCTTTTGAAGAGTTTTTCTGGAACCTTTCTTCTCATAAGGTCAGCTTGTCACAAAACCAGATCTGGTGGGCCTTGCTTGTCAGACCCAGGAGACTGCAGATGTGCTGTTCTGTGCTGCTACACATGCTAGTGAAATCTTGCAAATTTAGGGGCTCAAAATATAATTGGGGAGACAGTTTCAGGTCAAAGAAATGGTCCCTTTGCATGCTGGGTGCCTTGAGAGACTGCTTTGCAGCAGTTTGCAAGTCTGGAGGCAGGCTCTGGTGGAAGCTGCTCTCTGAGTCTCCTCCCCTCACACCTGCTTGGATTCCATGTCCTGCCTCTCTCGCCTCAGGGCATGATGTTCTGCTGCCACATTTGCAGTGAGGGGCAGGTTAGCTGGGCTGGTTTAGTTTTTCTATCATCTTAAGGCTTAAGCCTGATGTGTAGCGGTCCTTGAAGCCCTGCCCAGTCTGGTCACACCATCCCATGGCTTCCATCGTCTCTCGAGCAACAGTGAAGGAGGGGAACTATGACATGAGCTGAATTTCTCCAGACAATAGAAATCTGCAGGTGAATAAAAATTTCTACGCATCTAGGAAGACTAATCTGGGCCAGAGTTAGCCCAAAAGT